CCACCCTCGCCGCCGACGAGGATTCCTCCTTCCGCCTTGTCGACACCTCCGCCAAATCCCACCACTACAACCCCAATCGCCCCAAGTTCAACCCCAGGTGGCGGTTCAACCCCCACCATGCCCGGTCCCAGCTCCCGCAGCGCCGCGACGAGGAAGTCGAGGCCCGCAAGCGCGAGGCCGAGAAGGAGCGCGCCCGCCGTGACAGGATGTACAACAACCGCTCCCAGATGCCCCAGCGCCGTGAGTCCTCCGTTTTCAAGTCCTCGGTCGACATTCAGCCCGAGTGGAACATGCTGGATCAGATCCCCTTCTCCACCTTCTCTAAGCTGTCCTTTTCCGTCCCCGAGCCTGAGGACATGCTGATTTGCGGTGGGCTCGAATTTTACGACAGGTCTTATGATCGGATTACTCCCAAGAACTGCCGTCCTTTGGAGCGTTTCAAGAACCGGAATTTCTTCAAGGTCACCACCTCCGATGATCCGGTCATCAGGCGCTTGGCGAAGGAGGATAAAGCTACAGTCTTTGCCACTGATTTTATCCTGTCCACGCTAATGTGTGCTCCGAGATCAGTTTACTCGTGGGATATTGTGGTCCAGCGTGCTGGGAATAAGATTTTCCTCGATAAGAGGGATGGGTCACAGCTGGACTTTCTCACTGTGCACGAGACATCTCAGGAACCGTTGCCTGATGTGAAGGATGATATTAACTCCATCCACTCGTTGAGTGTGGAAGCTGCTTGCATCAACCAGAACTTTTCCCAGCAGGCTCTTATTAGGGATGGCAATAAGGTGACTTTTGAGGAGCCCAACCCGTTTGCAAACGAGGGCGAAGAAGCTGCTTCGGTTGCTTATAGGTACAGAAGGTGGAAGTTGGACAATGATATGTATCTTGTGTCGAGGTGTGAAGTGCAGAGTGTGCTAGATATGAACAATCAGAGGTCCTTCTTGACTCTGAACGCTTTGAATGAGTTTGACCCGAAGTATTCGGGTGTCGACTGGAGGCAAAAGCTCGAGACACAGAGGGGTGCTGTTTTGGCCACTGAATTGAAAAACAATGCGAATAAGTTGGCCAAATGGACTGCTCAGGCTTTGTTGGCCGGTGCAGATATGATGAAGCTGGGGTATGTTTCGAGGGTTCACCCTAGGGATCATTATAATCATGTGATATTGGCAGTTGTGGGGTACAAGCCCAGGGATTTTGCTGCACAGATCAATCTGAATACTTCTAACATGTGGGGTATTGTAAAGAGTATTGTGGACTTGTGTATGAAGTTGAAGGAGGGAAAGTATGTGCTAGTTAAGGATCCATCTAAGCCACAGGTGAGGATTTATGATGTTCCACCCGATGCTTTTGACAATGACTATGTGGAGGAGCCATTGCCTGAGGAGGAACAGGTTCAGCCTCCTGCTGAGGATGCTGATGGCTTGGATGCAAATGCAGCCAAAACTGATTCGGAGGATAAGGATGTTAAAATTGAAGCTGCTGCTTAAAAGGTAACCATTGTTGATTTTGGTTTTTCTGTGATGAGCTTTTGATTATGGTTTCGATATTTATTTAATTTGTGTTTGATGTTTTTGCGAGTTATGACTAGTCTATCATGTGTGTCAAACAGTTTGTTGATTTCAAATAGTTATTCGGTGAAATGCTGAAGGATTTGGAAACTGGGTTCTCAAGATTGTTCTTGTGATGTATCCATACAGTTTAATCTGATTTGTTTTGCGTGTTAACGTTGTAAAAGCAGTTAATTTTTTATAATTAGTAAGTGTGCATATATGACTGTCATTCAAAGTAGTACCTAATATTTGTTGGTATGGCTTAATTGAATGCCATCCCGTTTGTTGATGAGTTCAATCGTAATCTCATGTACTGGTGTTGTAAATATCCATGTGAGTTAATGTGTGAGAAAATATAATAATGGGGAATATGAATTAGTTCCAACTGTGATTATATCATTTTTCATTGTTCTGGAATCGTGGCCTTTACAATTATCGTCCGGTATAATCTGTTGTCTAATGCTTGCAACTGAAGCTGAAGTGAGTACATAGTTTATTGACCTGTAACTGCTTATTTATTGTTGCTTTTAGGAGTGGACAACGGTGCGGTTCGGTGAAACACCTCACTGAACCGCAAAAAACCGAACCTATAAAAAAAACAAAGAAAAAAACCGAACATATTTTTTTTACATTGAAATAATTGAACCAAACCGCATTGAAATGCAAGTTTCGACTCGGTTTTTGGTTTTATCACAATATTTCTATACATTTTATTCAATTTGGTTCTTCAGTACAAAACCGCACCAAACTGGACAAAACCGAAAACCTAACTTATAGAAAACTCTGACCACACCGCAGTGTAGGAAAAAACCTAATCGAATTTTTTTTACGTTAAAAAAAAAAAGAAACCGAACCACAACAAAATGCACAGTTTGGCTCGGTTTTTCGGTTTTGATCATCCCTAGTTGCTTTTCAAGGTATTTTCAGCATAGTTTTCCTTATATCAGTACTCTTTTTTTGTCAATCCTTCAGCTTCAATTTATGCTAGTTTCAAGCTTCTTGAACAGTTTTTGCATATAGGGTGTTACTCGAGCCGAGCATTTCGTGGTCAAGCTGCTACGCTCTTTTAAGCTCGGCTTGACTCGACTCGTTTAGTAAATGAGCTCGATTAGTTGTTCAAGTTCGGCTCGTTTAAGTAAATGAATGAGCCGAGCTTGAGCCTTCATGAGTTGTATTCGCGAAGAGCTCGGTTCAAATAACAACTCTATTTAGAATTGTTTAACATCAAAATTTTGTTGCTTTCCAGGGTGCTAGTTGCTTGAATATGTGAAGGACAAGAGTCGAGACGGAAGAGACTGAGCACTGTTTCTTTTTCAATTTTTTTTTTTTTTTTTTTNATTTTTTTTTTTTTTTTTTCAAAATCTATTTAATAGAATATTTGATGTAACCTTTTTGTTGAGCCCAATTTTATCCTCTGTTGTGTTATCTGCTTGGATTTTCAGTCTTATGTGGTAATACTACCCTTTTATAAAATCTGGGCAGTTACGTCTGAAGATATTTTAATGTGGAATGCCGGTTTATGTTATGTTTAATGGGTAGGCTGTCATACTTTGTATTCAAAACTTAATTGTCACTTTTAATAACTACATAAATTAAAGTATTGCACTTTATATCATATGAATACAATGTAGTTTTGTTAAAAATTACAGACGGATTGTGAACAATAATTTGTGTTGCCAAAATGGCTGATAAAGTGATAATAAATTAAAAATTTCTGTATGACATGAACTTCTTGATACGTGTTTTTTTCGTGACTCTAATTTGTTTTCCAATTGGAATATTATGGCTAGTCGCTAAAATTTATGACAGTTACAGCATATTCATTAGAAATCTAAAACATTTGATTTTGCACCGAATTTAATTGTATCTAGCATCATGCTAAAAGAGAATATATAAATATTACGAAACAACAATAACCTTAACATTTAACAGCGAATAATCCGGAAATTGAACCCAATATACGGATTCTATTTGCTTCTCTAATCACTTTTTGTTAAAAAAATTTAGTTATAACTCAATATTCTTACTTTTCAAATAAAAAATAATTTTTACCGCAATCAACTAAACGAGATAGAATTGAATTGTCAATTAACCTTAAATCAATATTCATATTTCTCAATTTTATTTTTTTTTGAATAATTAACGTGAATGCCAAATGTCAATCTAAATACAAATGAAAAATATACCTACTCGTCCTTTAAAATCTAAAATTAATTAATTCAAAATTGACTCCAACATATACGTAGACCCACCCTAGGGCACATGCATTAAATTAAATTGGCCTTTAAATTTTAGTCAAACACACGGACTTCCACATAGTTGCATTCAATTGTCCTCAGTATGAAACCCACTTCCATATATATATATATATTTATTCAAGGTAAGAAACAAAATTATAACAACAAATTTTAATTATTAGACAAGCTAATAATTAAATGGATTGATTTATCATACTTTCTAAAAAGATAAATATATGTATCAATTTCTAAAATATAACATTTGAATATGAAAATATTCAACAATTAATATATTTGGAGTAAATTTCGACATCAAAATATAAAGAAAATACTCAAATGTGGTCCCTTCAATTTAAAGTGGCACTTGGCTTAATAATTGAGCATAGGATTCACTAAGATTTGCTGATGGAAAAATTAAAATAAAATAAATGAAAAATAAAAGAATTAGATTCAAATACTTGTTCCTTTTTACATGCACATAGCTTCTTGTATCAGCAAACACACCTCATAGTTTATTACTTTATATATGAAAAAAAAAGTAATCGGAATCTAATTTAATCTTTTAATAGGCAATTGTTTGTTTTTCCATCCAAAGCACTAGAAAGAACCAATCTATGTATTAACAAAAGTCATACATTCTCCTTCACCTTACCAACTCTTGAAATTTTCACTTATTACATTCTATTGAAGACCAATTGACTGAACAAAATAAATCATAAAAATAACAAAAAAAAAAAAGTGGAGAAATTTGAATGAGGGACATGAAAAGGATGTACAATACTGTTGAATTGAGATGTTGGCCAAATAAAAGTATTGGATAAATTTTAGATTACACAATTGAATATTACATTAATATTAAGATAATTAATATTTTCATTTGACTTCAATTACATTAAATGTAAGATAAACAATTCATTTTCTGTAAGTTCTTTTATTTTTTTGTTGACACAAGCCTTTCAATTTATTTTATTTTGAAATTTTCTATGCAAAAATGTAGCGCGACATTATAACAAGTTTTTCGCACGACTGTGAAGTAGAATAAGAACGTGGGGCAAGGCTGGAGAAGCTATGATATTTTCATAGATTTTGTTTGCTTTTTTATTTAAATGAAAAAAATAATTACACATTAGTTCATATTTTTAAATAAAAATATAAAATCAGTTGCCTCAGTCCAAGGGACCCTTTGGAGTCAATGCCTAATAATTAAAACTTAGTTTGACAACTTCTTATCTCCTTCTGGGCCCCACCATCTCCTGGTCCGAAATTCCAATACCAATAGCCTGTCTCCAGTTGGACTTTTCTTCTGAGTCCGATATCCACTCTCCCCTCTAGCGCGTGCTATAATCTCCACTCACTTTTCCAATAATCTGATACTCACGCGCACACGTCGCTTCGTTACCTCAACTGCAACACCATCAGTATTTCTTACCAAATCAAATAAAGCTGTGAAGTGATTATTAGAGTGTTATTTAGCCTTATTTTAATTACATCTAGTTTGAAATTTCCTGCTCTTTTAATAAATAAATTAAAGAATAAATATAACTTTACATAAGTTGTCCTCAATCTGAAATATTGTTTACAGAATACAATTAAGTTCAACTCAATTATTTTATTTAAAATTATTAAAAAACTGATAAAAAAGTGAAATGTTAGTTAACAAGTTCGACTCGATGATTTTAATAAACGAGCTCGACTCATTCACACTATATTTTACTAGGCAAACCGAGTTGTTTTTGCGAACATATCAATGTGTCTACCAATTCTACGAGCAATGCAAGAAAATTTAAATAATAATAAATGACTAAATTATTAAATACTACTAAAAAAAAGGAGGCCCCTTCTCTTCTATTTCTACTACATATGCACAGCTCAAAAGAAACAGAACAGATCTCAATCAATGGAGAATTTAACACTCGCCCAAAACCCTTCACTCATCCCATCCCCAATCCCCCACAGCCCGAGCAGCAGCAGCGTCGCCGCCGCCGCGAACGGCGTCCGCCACCAGCCTCCGCAGCCGTCCGCGCCGGTAACCAGATCCGAACCCAACAACCCATACCCGACCACCTTCGTCCAGGCTGACACGTCCTCCTTCAAGCAAGTCGTCCAGATGCTGACCGGATCCACCGACACGGCCCGGATCTCCGCCCGGAGCCCGATCCCGCCGGCCCGAACTGGGCCCAGGATGGAAAAATCGGGTTCCAAGCTCTACGAGCGGAGGAACAGTCTGAAGAACTTCAGGATCAGCCCGCTTGGTCCTGGACCAGGCCCGACATCCGGGTACTCGGGCTCGCCGCGGTCCGGGGCGCCGGAGGTTCTGTCCCCGAGCATTCTTGATTTCCCGTCGCTGGTGCTAAGTCCGGTGACCCCTCTTATACCCGACCCGTTTAACAGGGAAGCGGCGGGCGGGGAGAGTAACGGGTTCGGGTTGGATAAACTGGCCGAGGAGAAGGCGATTAAGGAGAAGGGGTTTTATCTGCATCCGTCGCCGGCGAATACACCGAGAGATTCAGAGCCACGGCTTTTACCGCTTTTTCCGGTCACCTCACCTAGAGTCGCCGGTTCAACTAAAGCTGCTAATTCTTGAGTGAGTGATTTTTTTTTTTAAATTATTTTTGG